AATATCAAAGATGGTTACCAAACCCCCCTTTTATATAATACTTCTCATTAGACGAATTCGTTTTCCGACAGGCTTGCAAAAACTCTCATCAAAAAGAGGAAAAGGCTTTTTTTTGTTAATTTTTAAAAATTTAAATTCCTGCAATAACATGTTGGGGAGATGATCATGCTGCCCTCTGGAAAACAAAAAATCACACTACAATAAATAGCCTTTACTAGCTCAAATTAGAAAACAGAAAACAAACAGCAGAAAAAACATCGATTTAAAGGAAGGATAAAGGAAATTTAAACCCAAGGGCCACCACAAAACATTCTTTTTTATTTTCTTCATCAAAACCCTTCCCGATTCCCATTTTACAAAGTTTTCATTAAAAAATTTTGCTTGAACAAATCCCATGGCTTGCTAATGGAAATCCCCCTTCCCAAAAAAAAAAAAATTCACCCATTTTTTTACCCCGCATCCTGTCTAATATATTTTTTTTATTATCACAGGCCGTTCCCACCAAGGCAGGGTTTTCCCGAAAAAAAAAAACTTTCACCTCATTACTCCACACTGTCTTGCCAGAAGGGGGGCTTACACTACAGTTTTTTTAAAATGCAACATTAACACCCCTCCCTTTAAGGGGCAGGCACGTACTTCCCATCTCCAGGACTCAAGTCCGGCCTGCCGGTTTCCTAATCCTTTATAAAATTTTCTTTTCTCAACCCCCAAAGACTAATATTAAAAACCATTTTTCCCTTCCATCCTATCAAACACCCAGCATCCTGCTGGGAAATCCAAGCCCCCCAACAAAACCTCCTTTACCCCCTCCTCCAACCCTTCCCAGCCCACCCACCCCCCCTTTCTTCCATCAGACTGATTACACTTTGAAATCTCTGTTTCGCTCCATTCTCTTACTGTCCGAACCCCAATCCAACCCTTCCTCAGCCCCCCTTGAAACATTTTGGTAATCCCGACCTCCTCCCAACTTTAAAAATACGAATTCTCTGCATTATATTTACAACAACTTGCCCTCAAATGAAAAACTCCAGCCTCCGCCCCCTTTTCCCCCGCTGAAATTTATCACCCCCCTTCAACCCCTATAAGAGCGTTTGGTAAAACTATACTCTAACATTCCCCTCTTTTCCCCCAAAGGGCAAGTTCTTTGTCCCACAACTCCCAAGTGCACCACTCACTCTTTTTTCCCCCCAAAATTTTATGATTCACCTTCTTTCATAGACCCACCCGCTGCACTCCACCCCAAATTTTCTAATAAAACCTTTTTTTAGTGGGAAAGGAAATTGGAATTCAACACAAATTTAATCTGCATTCAACGTGCCCAATTACTTTGCATAATGATCACTTTCGATGGTTTCACTTCGTAACGTTTTTGATCTTTTATAATTTTTTTTTTTAGGTAATAAAAATTTTTTATCAGTTTGGATCATTTGGGGAAATTTAAACCCCAAATTAAAAAAATGGGCCTTTATCAAGTAATTCCCTTAAAAATTCACCTTAAAAAATTTTCTCAAGATTTAGGTATTTTGAGAGTATTCAATACATTAATTTTCAATTTTTAAAGGATCGCAATTCAACAGTCTAAATGGGGGCCAGGGCAAAAAAGCTGCATTAATCATTTTGGAAATGAGAACCCCACTGGTTACAGAATGCCTGTTTTATGATAGTGCAAAACACATCATCTAGACCATTCCCCCTCCCCCCTTTAAACAAAGGTTTACTGTATCTGTTTATGGTTGCAGGAATCATTGCAACAACAGCCTAGTCTTAGACTTGGGCCTGAAAAGGAGACCCAATGAAAAGCAAATGTGCCATAAACACTGTCAATATCTGTGGCCCAAAATATTTCAGATTTCTGACACTCTCAGTAGCCTGGTTGATCAGAGAGGCATGCAGGCCGTGATTAGCTGACGAAGGATTGAGCCTCCAACACTCCTTGCATGGAATGATCCACACAACTCAAAACCTGCAACTAACAAACCCTCCCCCCTCCCCACCCATGCCCCCCAAAAAACTCACATAAGCGTAAACATGCATCTTTAACTTTCTAGGTACAGAATAAAATATATTGCTGGAGCAAAAGTGCAATTCTTCAAAAGAAAACTCATAGTTATGAAGGCCTATCGACTGCACACAACGATAACCTAGTTGATCAACCATTCTACAGGAATTCCATGACTACCTGATATCCATTCTATATGTAACATATACCCAACCTTACACAGCAGTAAAACATAAAATACATAACATTATACCCAAAAATAGTTATGATTTCCATCAGTTTTTCTACTGGCGAGATATATTGTTTTGCTCTCGATTCTAGATCTCTATCCCAAAATCTTTTGAAGGAAAAGCAGGTCTTTTTTTAAACAAGACGGTGTATTGACGATGTCCAGATGTACACATGCCAAGTACCTTCAGGTGAGCTATATAAATGATGCAAGGAAGCCAAATGCAAACATTCTGGCAATAAAGCAATATTAGAAGTGATGTTATGGGATATGTGAAAAAATATATACAAAAAGTTTGTAGAAGGCAGTATAGAGTAGAAAAACACAGGGAGGAGGTGTGTGCAAGCAAGGAAGCCAGGTGGATGTACCAACACTGTAGTAAGTACAGGGAGGAGGTGTCTGCAAGCAAGGAAGCCAGGTGGATGTACCAACACTGTAGTAAGTACAGGGAGGAGGTGTCTGCAAGCAAGGAAGCCAGGTGGATGTACCAACACTGTAGTAAGTACAGGGAGGAGGTGTCTGCAAGCAAGGAAGCCAGGTGGATGTACCAACACTGTAGTAAGTACAGGGAGGAGGTGTCTGCAAGCAAGGAAGCCAGGTGGATGTACCAACACTGTAGTAAGTACAGGGAGGAGGTGTCTGCAAGCAAGGAAGCCAGGTGGATGTACCAACACTGTAGTAAGTACAGGGAGGAGGTGTTCTGCAAGCAAGGAAGCCAGGTGGATGTACCAACACTGTAGTAAGTACAGGGAGGAGGTGTCTGTAAGCAAGGAAGCCAGGTGGATGTACCAACACTGTAGTAAGTACAGGGAAGAGGTGTCTGCAAGCAAGGAAGCCAGGTGGATGTACCAACACTGTAGTAAGTACAGGGAGGAGGTGTCTGCAAGCAAGGAAGCCAGGTGGATGTACCAACACTGTAGTAAGTACAGGGAGGAGGTGTCTGCAAGCAAGGAAGCCAGGTGGATGTACCAACACTGTAGTAAGTACAGGGAGGAGGTGTGTGCAAGCAAGGAAGCCAGGTGGATGTACCAACACTGTAGTAAGTACAGGGAGGAGGTGTCTGCAAGCAAGGAAGCCAGGTGGATGTACCAATACTGTAGTAAGTAAAAGGGAGGAGGTGTCTGCAAGCAAGGAAGCCAGGTGGATGTACCAACACTGTAGTAAGTACAGGGAGGAGGTGTCTGCAAGCAAGGAAGCCAGGTGGATGTACCAATACTGTAGTAAGTACAGGGAGGAGGTGTCTGCAAGCAAGGAAGCCAGGTGGATGTACCAACACTGTAGTAAGTACAGGGAGGAGGTGTCTGCAAGCAAGGAAGCCAGGTGGATGTACCAACACTGTAGTAAGTACAGGAGGAGGTGTCTGCAAGCAAGGAAGCCAGGTGGATGTACCAATACTGTAGTAAGTACAGGGAGGAGGTGTCTGCAAGCAAGGAAGCCAGGTGGATGTACCAACACTGTAGTAAGTACAGGGAGGAGGTGTCTGCAAGCAAGGAAGCCAGGTGGATGTACCAACACTGTAGTAAGTACAGGGAGGAGGTGTCTGCAAGCAAGGAAGCCAGGTGGATGTACCAATACTGTAGTAAGTACAGGGAGGAGGTGTCTGCAAGCAAGGAAGCCAGGTGGATGTACCAATACTGTAGTAAGTACAGGGAGGAGGTGTCTGCAAGCAAGGAAGCCAGGTGGATGTACCAACACTGTAGTAAGTACAGGGAGGAGGTGTCTGCAAGCAAGGAAGCCAGGTGGATGTACCAACACTGTAGTAAGTACAGGGAGGAGGTGTCTGCAAGCAAGGAAGCCAGGTGGATGTACCAACACTGTAGTAAGTACAGGGAGGAGGTGTCTGCAAGCAAGGAAGCCAGGTGGATGTACCAACACTGTAGTAAGTACAGAAAATCTTGTGTCACCAATATTATACTAATTACAAAAAGGTCTTGCGTCACTAATATTGGGCTAAGTACAAAAAAGTCTTGTATCACCAATATTGAACCTGAAATGCACAGCATGCTAGTGGCTTTCTTTTGTGCTTAATATTTATTACATGTGAACCACATTTTGTAAACTGCACAAAAGAAATAAAAGTTGTATAAATACAAAACAAGTCTTGTGTCACCAATATTAGACTAAGTACAAAAAAGTCTTGTGTCACCACACTGCTTCAAAATATAACAAGAGTAGTCCATGCAGAGAGAGGCAGGTTACTCAGTGCAAGAGTGCCATGTGTGCTACTGCTTAAAGTAAATACAATCTTAACTATGATAAATGATCCATAATTTCTTACTGAAGACTATAATTACCCTTAAAAATAATAAAATTTTCTTTAAACATTAATTGCTATTAATATAAACAAGTGAGTGCTGTATTAGTACAGTAACTAAATATATGACAAAAGCATAAAAAATGTGTGATTATTGGACTCAATGCTCTTGCAAATCAACAATTAAGATATTTCTGACCAAGTGCTGGACATTACATTGTTTCCTTGCCTTGGTCTCTTCATACAACAGTTTATTTATAAAAAAAAGTTTATGCACTGTATATTATCCTTTTTATGTAAAATGATACATGTATCTGGCAACGTTGAGAAAGGTTGAGTGCCATTCTGCATACCATCATCTTGCAAGTGGCATATTAGTAAGGCTAAATTAAACAAACATTCGAATCAGACAGAGCAATGCAAGAATAAAACAAACGAGACGTAAAATAATCAATATATCAAATATTATTTGAATGTTTCCGAAGAGAATTTTCAGGCAAGTGAGTATGCAGAGTAAAGCTATATCTTGTTAGTAAGCTTCACGGGAAAAGCCTTAAGATTACCATTACTGCCTTGGATAGAGGCACTCACCTGCTGCTGGGATTGGTGGCAGCACGGCCACAGCGTGCGGGGAAAGGGGGCCGCGACCGTGATTCTGTTGTGCATATAGCAAGAGGGCAAATCATGATAAACCATGGCACTGCCACTGTGGCAAACGCAAGCCAAGAAAAGGACACGCTTTACCATATAAATATCAGCTTCAAAGCACTTTCATACTTGCAAAAGACTTATTCTCACAACTAGTGAATCATGGAATTAAAGCAATTTTCCTTCTAACAATATGTTCATCAGTAAAACAAATTATATTAATTAAAATTTAAGATCAGGAGTTGACTGGCTGGCGACCACAAAAGTCACCACCTAGTCGACTGTGCAACTCAACATCAGATAACGAGTCCAAATGAATCAAAAGATAATTAATGTATAAACTATTTGAGAACAATGGAAGTTTGTAACATTTTTCAAGTGCAAAACAAGTGATTCCTTTCCAGAGTATGCTGTACAACAGAAAAATATAGCCAATTTAAACATTTCAGTAAAGGAAATGCAGTTTTTTATACATTTTTTGAACCAGGTGTGAAAATGAGGGAGTAATGTAAAATGTGAAGTACCGAGAGAAAAGGGCCTCGGTACAATCCCAAGTGGGGTTTTGTACTTTTGTCATTGCGTTTTACAGTAAAACCCCTCCATTGCATTTAGCATTCAAAATGTATTGAAATAATTTATTTGCACATGAACTCCTCGCTAAAGAAATCGTAATAAAACCGATTGAAAAAAAACCCATCCCCCCGGGGCCGGGGAATTAAACCCGCGGTCATAGGTCTCAAAACCCCAGCCCGTCGCTTACCCACTTGCATTTTGGTCACAGAGTGCCTGTGCAAATTTTTCCTAGGGTGTAGAATTTATCCCTGTTGATGAATTTTATTGTGGCAGCGGGTCTAGGGCTAACGACGGGTGGAGTTTTGAGACTATACCGGGGGTTTCAACCCCGCCGGGGGTATGGTTTATTTGCAATCGTTAAATTACGATTTCTTGAGCCCTGTTGACGGCAGTGAAGGGATTGAGGTAGAGTTCGTCAGGGCCCACGCTAGCTGGAATTCGTCTGTAAAACTTGCATTTGTGGTCACGAGGTCCTTGCTAACTTTCCTATGGGTAAAATATACCTAGTTGGATGAATCTTATTGTGGCAGCGGGTCCAGTCGCTAACATAGGGCTGGAGTTTTGAGACTTACTGCGGTTCAACCCCGGCCGGGGGGTATGGTTTAGAACCCCCCAATATTTTTTTTTTTTAATTTTCGATTTCAAATTAGTTTTATTTTGGATCAAAAAAGGGAAGTAAAAGAGAAAGAGAAGGGGTTTTTTTTTTCCTGGCAGTGTCGCTGACATCTAAAAAATTTTCATATTTTATTATGGTTTTTTTGTTACTTAAATCCGGGTGTCCCATTAGAAATTTTTTTAAACCATTTTTGAGTTTGCTTACGAAATTTTTTTATAAATGCATAAAGAAAATAAAATTGCTTTTTTCGTGCAGAAAAACCCAAGATAGAAATACCGCCCCAGTGAGAGCCAAAAGCCAATTTAAATTTCAAAAGTATAGTGTTCAGTAACCTTCCAATAATTTTAAATTTAAAACTGTCCCCCATCATCACTATCATCTCAGAAAGTTTACGGGGGGAATTCTATTTATTAGAAAATTTTAAGACAAAAATAAAAAGTAGTTGGTGTAAGTAGGGTGTTAATGTTGCAGTTTAAAAACTGTATGTAAAGCACCCTTTTGGCAAGACAGTGATGGAGTAAATGAGGGTGAATTTTTTTCTTTTGGGGCCCCCCTCCCTTGGTGGGAATGGGCCATGTGTTTAAAAAAAAAAAAATAATATACCCAATTATAAAAATTTTTTTTAAAGGGGGTGAATGGGAAAAGCCACAAAAGGCCTCTGTCAATGAAAAAAAACTTGGGGGGTCATCGTATAACCCATGTCAGGTAACACCTGTCCTGTTTCCTGACCAATCTTACCTGACCTAACAAATATGTCAAGAATGAAACTAGCACAATTAAGTCAGTTTGACAGCTTATTTCCTGAATGATAAGGTCAAAGAAAACACCAGAAGGTGGTTTAAAATTTTAGTAATGGATTTTTTTTGGGAATGAAAAAAGTGAAAGCGAGGAGTTAGAAAAGATGAGAAAGATGCAATGCAGCGGGTTGGGCATTATGAGAGACTAAAAGAAGACACCGTGATAAACAGAAGGTGTAGTATCTGAGTTGTCAGGATAAATTTAACATTGAGACAAGTGTGGGAATCAAGTTGGGCTGGACCAGATCTATGTGGTAAAATTTTTTAAAATGATTCACCAATACCCTCTCAAATTTAAAATCAAAAATTAAAGCTCAAATACGAACATATACATAAAATATATCTTCAAGAAATATAAGCAATATGTCTTCTATGGTCTTATGAAACTGACAATAATAGAATTTATTGGGACAATGTTTAAAGCTTCACATTTATAAATCCCTAAAAAAGTCGCAAAAAAATCACGGGAAAGGGGGATTTAAACCATGGCAAGCGAGTTCTATAGCATATAGAAATACAGTGGACCCCCGGTTAACGATATTTTTTCACTCCAGAAGTATGTTCAGGTGCCAGTACTGACCGAATTTGTTCCCATAAGGAATATTGTGAAGTAGATTAGTCCATTTCAGACCCCCCCAAAAATACCCCGTACAACGCACTTACATAAATATACTTACATAATTGGTCACATTCGGAGGTAATCGTTATGCGGGGGTCCACTGTATACCTAGTTGGGTGAATCTTATTAGAGTCAGCTGGTTGACTGGTTAACATACTGGTTGACTGGTTAACATACTGGTTGACTGGTTAACATACTGGTTGACTGGTTAACATACTGGTTGACTGGTTAACATACTGGTTGATGGTTTAAAATAATGGTTGATGGTTAAAATACGGGTTTACTGGGGTTACATACTGGGTTTACTGGTTAACATATGGGGGGACTGGTTAACAATGGGTTTACTGGTTAAAAATACTGGTTTTACTGGTTAACATACGGTTTACTGGTTTTAACATACTGGTTGACTGGTTACATACTGGTTGACTGGTTAAAATACGGTTGCTGGTTAAATACTGGGTTACTGTAACATACTGGTTACTGGTTAAATACGTTGCGGGTTTAAAAACTGGTTTACTGGTTTAAAATACTGGTTGACTGGTTAAAATCTGGGTTACTGGTTAACATACTGGGTTTACTGGGTTAAAAATACGGTTGACGGGTTAACATACTGGTTTACTGGGGTTTAAAATACTGCCTGTGAGTTTTAGAACTACTTGACGGGGGTTTTAACATCACCCTTCCCTGATTTAAACCTATACTTCTGCAAGGTTGGTATACGATAAGTTTTTTTGCTGGAGATGGATAAGATAAGATAAGATTTTGTTCGGATTTTTAACCCTGGAGGGTTAGCCACCCAGGATAACCCAAGAAAGTCAGTGCGTCATCGAGGACTGTCTAACTTATTTCCATTGGGGTCCTTAATCTTGTCCCCCAGGATGCGACCCACACCAGTCGACTAACACCCAGGTACCTATTTGCTGCTAGGTGAACAGGACAATAGGTGTAAGGAAACGTGTCGGAATTTCCACCCGCCGGGAATCGAACCCGGGCCCTCCGTGTGTGAAGCGGGAGCTTTAGCCACCAGACCACCGGGGTCAAATAGTTAAATGGGAAAGCCTTCAGTGATTTGGGAGGGATGGGGGGACTAGGGAATGAAATACACAATCTGCAAACATGGACTAGAGAGTAAAAACTCAGCAAAAGAATATAATTACATATCTAAGTAACTACACACGGTGGGACACACCACTACAGGGAATCAGCTATAGGGGGGTTAGCAGTTTTATGCTTGATCCTGAGAGTTTTAACAAGTTAATGAAAAACACTGCATATTAAAAATCTGAATTAGGACAAAAGCGAATATTTCACATGAACAAGAAGTTATGACAGACCTGGTTGGTGTGAGTATTGCTGGTGGTGGGCTGGAGGTGAAGAGTGGTAAAGACACTCCAGCGAGGAGGAGGAGTGTCCATCAAAATGGGTAGAGATGCCAGAGTCAGACTCACCGAGGCCTACATGACATTCAGCCGTCATTGAACCTGTGTAAATTTAAATTGCACGTTGTAATTTCAAATGCAGTATTGTGCATAAACTTCATAAATAATATCCACATTTTGAAATTATTATAATACAACTACAGTGGTGCACTTAGGACTCTGTGGAGACAAAGAACTTTGTCCATGGAAGCAAAGAGGGGAATGTATGAGAGTATAGTTATACCAACACTTATATGGGTGTGAAGCATGGCTGGAGGTGAGAAGGCTGGAGGTAGTGGAGATGTCATATCTGAAGGCAATGTGTGGTGTGAATATAATGCAGAGAATTCATAGTTTGGAAATTAGGAGGAGGTGCGGGATTACCAAAACTATTATCCAGAGGGCTGAGGAGGTGTTGCTAAGAGGGTTCAGACATGTAGAGAGAATGGAATAAAACAGAATTACTTCAAGAGTGTACGTATAAATCTGTAGTGGAGGGAAGGCGGGGAAGGGGTCAGCCTAGGAAAGGTTGGAGAGAGGGGGTAAAGGAGGTTTTGTGTGCAAGGGGCTTGGACTTCCAGCAAGCATGCACGAGCGTATTTGATAGGAGTGAATGGAGACAAATGCTGACGTGCTGTTGGAGTGTGAGCAAAGTAACATTTATGAAGGGATTCAGGGAAACCGGCAGGCCGGACTTGAGTCCTGGAGATGGGAAGTACAGTGCCTGCACTCTGAAGGAGGGGTGTTAATGTTGCAGTTTAAAAACTGTAGTGTAAAGCACCCTTCTGGCAAGACAGTGATGGAGTGAATGATGAAAGTTTTTATTTTTCGCGCCACCCTGCCTTGGTGGAAATCGGCCAGTGTGTTAAAAAAAAAAAATACAGTCATCTATAAAAGCACATGTAAAATATATTTCCACTTAAAATTTAAGTTCAAAAACTGAGTTACACATCAGTGACCACATATACATGCAGTCAGAGGTTGACAGTTTAACCCTTTGACTGTTTCAGTCGTACATATACGTCTTACGAGCCACCGTGTTTGACGTATATATACTCAAATTCTAGCAGCTTCAAATCAAGCAGGAGAAAGCTGGTAGGCCCACATGTGAGAGAATGGGTCTGTGTGGTCAGTGTGCACCATACAAAAAAAGTCCTGCAGCACGCAGTCCATAATGAGAAAAGAAAAACTCACTGTTTTTTTAATTAAAATGCCGACTTTCTGGTCTATTTTCGTATAGTATTTATGGTTGTATTCTCGTTTTCTTGGTCTCATTTGATAGAACAGAAAACATTTTATAGAAATAGAGGTGATTTTGATTGGTTTTACTAAGAAAAGAACCTTGAAATGGAGCTCAAAGTAGGGAAAATGTTTGATTTTTGCCAATGTTCAAAAGTAAACAAATGTCAAATATATCGTGTATCAGCTGACAATAAACTTATACTCCAACTACCAGCTAACTTATACAACCTTAATAAAGAAACTAATAAAGGTAATGAAGCAAACAAAGTAGTATAAAATAATATATAAATTTCACTCACTTGGGCAGTCTCATGACTATAGTTTTATATTAACAAAATTAACTCTCTTACCCAGTTGGAAATAAACTTGCAAAGGAAAAACTTGCAAAGACACTGAAATTGTAGAGGGGATTTATGTAGTTCAATTTATAGCTGGTTTATTTGATCATAGTTTTGGACACCGACAATAGTTCAGGATAGTAATGTTATAACTTAACATCAGCAGGTATAACCAAGTTTTGGACACCGACAATAGTTCAGGATAGTAATGTTATAACTTAACATCAGCAGGTATAACCAAGTTTTGGACACCGACAATAGTTCAGGATAGTAATGTTATAACTTAACATCAGCAGGTATAACCAAGTTTTGGACACCGACAATAGTTCAGGATAGTAATGTTATAACTTAACATCAGCAGGTATAACCAAGTCAGGGTGACCCAAAATAGAAGAAATACTTTCATCATCACTGACAACAGTTCAAAAATGGCAAAATATCTCCTGGAATTTGACCTGCCCTAATTTTCTCTCTTAAGTACTCAAGCTCTTTTTCTCAGATGCAAAGGTTTCCCAGAAAAACTCTTAATTGTCCAAACGTAGATCTACGTTCTTACCGCTAGCGCTTCAAACGAAGATCTACGTTTTATTTTTCCTGCCTCCAAATTTGGCATGATTGGCCTGAGATGCCTTGTCAGCACAGAATGGGTCTTAACACTCAGTGTGTGCAGTATTAAAACAATCTGGGACAACTTAGTACCTTGTGGGAGCACAAGTTCAATTGAGTGCCAGCTAGAGCAAACATCGCAGCAAACACCTGGGATTTACTGATGTCATGCAGTATTAACACTCCCATTTTAAGAGAAAAGTGATGCTGACCCTGAGTTTAGAGGCTCTGAGGTGAATGTGGCCATAAGTGGTCGAGGATATATCAAAAACCTCGATAAGCTGGAGTTTACCTGGAGAGAGTTCTGGGGGTCAACGCCCCCGCGGCCCGGTCTGTGACCAGGCCTCCTGGTGGATCAGAGCCTGATCAACCAGGCTGTTGCTGCTGGCTGCACACAAACCAACGTACGAGCCACAGCCCGGCTGATCAGGAACTGACTTTAGGTGCTTGTCCAGTGCCAGCTTGAAGACTGCCAGGGGTCTGTTGGTAATCCCCCTTATGTGTGCTGGGAGGCAGTTGAACAGTCTCGGGCCCCTGACACTTATTGTATGGTCTCTTAACGTGCTAGTGACACCCCTGCTTTTCATTGGGGGGATGGTGCATCGTCAGACGAGTCTTTTGCTTTCGTAGTGAGTGATTTTCGTGTGCAAGTTCGGTACTAGTCCCTCTCAGATTTTCCAGGTGTATATAATCATGCATCTCTCCCTCCTGCGTTCCAGGGAATACAGGTTTAGGAACCTCAAGCACTCCCAATAATTGAGGTGTTTTATCTCCGTTATGCGCGCCGTGAAAGTTCTCTGTACATTTTCTAGGTCGGCAATTTCACCTGCCTTGAAAGGTGCTGTTAGTGTGCAGCAATATTCCAGCCTAGATAGAACAAGTGACTTGAAGAGTGTCATCATGGGCTTGGCCTCCCTAGTTTTGAAGGTTCTCATTATCCATCCTGTCATTTTTCTAGCAGATGCGATTGATACAATGTTATGGTCCTTGAAGGTAAGATCCTCCGACATGATCACTCCCAGGTCTTTGACGTTGGTGTTTCGCTCTATTTTGTGGCCAGAATTTGTTTTGTACTGTGATGAAGATTTAATTTCCTCATGTTTACCATATCTGAGTAATTGAAATTTCTCATCGTTGAACTTCATATTGTTTTCTGCAGCCCACTGAAAGATTTGGTTGATGTCCGCCTGGAGCTTTGCAGTGTCTGCAATGGAAGACACTGTCATGCAGATTCGGGTGTCATCTGCAAAGGAAGACACGGTGCTGTGGCAACATTTGTGCAACATACTTTCATTTTTGGTACCACTGGTAGGGTCATCCTACCAGAATATCTTATAACCTATGCCCTACGTAAAGAGAAACAATTCTGGAACATGTAATATGTTTTCGGCAGGCTGACTGGCCGGCTGTCTCTATCTGTCTGTCTGTATCTATGTCTCTGTCTATGTCTCTCTATGTTTCTGTCTATCTCTGTCTCTGTCTCACCAATACCTTTGTTATACCTTTACCTTTGAAGAGTTTCGAGAGTGTCTCTACTCTCTGAGCCCAGCCATGGGCCAGGCTCGTCTGGTGCTTGCCTGGTCAACCAGGCCAACAACCTGGTCAACAATTATACACAGTGTAAATTACCTAGGATAACCCAAAAAAGCCAGGCAAAGTGCTATACGTACTGTGCTTGTAGATATAATGCATAGAAAGCACGATTCAGGGAAACTGGCAGGCTGGACTTGAGTCCTGGAGATGGGAAGTACAGTGCCTGCACTCTGAAGGAGGGGTGTTAATGTTGCAGTTTAAAAACTGTAGTGTAAAGCACCCTTCTGGCAAGACAGTGATGGAGTGAATGATGGTGAAAGATTTTCTTTTTCGGGCCACCCTGCCTTGGTGGGAATCGGCCAGTGTGATAATAAATAAAAAATAAGCACGACTTGCAAGTAATATGTATTTTCACTTGTTTATGACCGTGTCGTGTGTAATACCTGTTGGTTCACAAGTGCCACTCTCTGAGACAGAGACAAGCAGATAGACAGATAAGCAGAGAGAGAGAGACAGAGCTAGACACGCAGAGAGCTAGACAGACAGACATGTTTATGGGTAACAGTGAAAACAAATAAAGCCAAGGCAGTGCACGCTCATCAAATGTCACCAGTGCAGTGACACTCGTACAACAACAACAACAACAACAACAACAACAACAACAACAACAACAACAACAACAACAACAACAACAACAACAACAACAACAACAACAACAACAACAACAACAACAACAACTATATACTCCCGTATATCCATAACATTGCTGGGACCTATAAATATTATGTATATATTTCTAGACAATAGTGTGTGACTAAGGTAGGTGAAAATGTTGACCTGTCAGTGTGTTTGTTAGTATCTAATATTAGTGTCAGAACAAACATTACCTAGGAAATCACAAGAACTATTACAAATTGTAATTTCTTTCTTTCAACAAACCGGTCGCATCCCACCCAGGCAGGGTAGCCCAAAAAGAAAAACAAGTTTCTCTTTTTAAATTTAGTAATGTATACAGGAGAAGGGGTTACTAGCCCCTTGCTCCCGGCATTTTAGTCACCTCTTACAACACACATGGCTTAGAGGAAGAATTCTGTTCCACTTCCACATGAAGAACAAGAATACAGTGGACCCCCGCATACCAGACACCTTGCATAACGGACAATCCGCATACCGGATGCTTTGATCGCTAAAATTTTGCCTCGCATACCGCCCAAAAACCCGCTCAGCACCCTTCGTCCGAGATGCGTCCAATGTGCGGCCTGAGCCAGCCTCATATGTTCCGCCAGTGCCATTGTTTACCAGCCAGCCTCCACGGTAACATTCAAGCATACAATCGGAATATTT